TATATATATATATATATATATATATATATATATATATATATATATATATATATACAACTAAATAGATATATAATATAAAGTGAATGATAATGGAATGGTAACCCCGCCTGTGCTATCGGTATACGCTGGCGGGACACCAGTGAGAGATGATAGGTGAGGATGAAGAGGCAGGTCAGTTAGCCCATCGTGATGAATACAATTGGAATTAAGCACGATGGTTTCCAGGGGAGACTACATGGAGGTCCATCTGACAGGGTATATTACTAGCTGACAATTGTCAGAAACGACAAACAGTAAATTCATAAAATCCTGTTGTGCATGTATCTAGACTAGGAGTAAGTTCTATCTGTTCTCCTTTAACCAAAGCTTATCTGTAAGAGATCACTCTAGCGGTAAGACCGCCTTTTGTACCTTTATGTGTATATTTCAATCTGTATTTATGTTACTGTATTACACTTGAATTGTTCAATTGCCATTGTATATTTTTATTTATGGTGCAATAAAGAGTTAAATAAACAAATGTAGCAACATATATATATATATATATATATATATTTTAGTTACAATATTAATACACTGGTCCAGTAACGAATATGTCAAAAGACTGGTATCCAAAAAATAATATTTGGATAACAGACTTTTAACATATTCGAAAATAGATATCCGACCGATATCGTAATGGATGATGACCTTTTTCCCGCCATCAATGTCCAGAGAAACCCAATATATAGATATCGGAGAGAGACTTTGTACAAAAGTCGATTGCTTGGGTACCTCTGCCCCATTCGTGTTTCAACCGCGAAGCAGTTGTGTTTGCATGGCTGTGTTTCGGTTTGAAAGGTGGGATATGGCGTGAATTTACAGGGTACTGTAAAATAACATCCGAGTCCTTAGGAATGGCAACGCATGGGAGCGTATCATGGGCGAAACAGTACACTCTGTTATGTCCATGGTACTGCTCATGTTTATAGGCGACGGTTACCACTTTTCATCAGGTGGGCCGTCAGCTTGTTTGCCATTCTAAGTTGTATAAAAAAAATATCACCCATGCCTAATATAAACCCATATTGCTAGCAATGAGTCTCATTACTAATAATCCCCCCTTCCCCTCCCCCACTTGAGTCTCGTATTTACGTCATAGCGTTCATCGAAATTCTAAATACAAATTTCGCAAACTTCGAATGAATGGATGATAAAATGAACTTTCACATGCCTAAGATTTAACATAAAGAAATTTGAACCGTACTCCTTTTGTAATAAAATCGAAAGTTCACAACAAACGTTCAGCCGCTTCCGAATGATGCCCACTTAAATTAATTCCCGCTGACTGTAGCTTCCTATGATAATGTTAATTCGAATGTACCAAGTTTCGCGCCAAAATTTAAGCTAAATATATCCCAATTTGTTTCAACAAATGCTTACATTTCTTTATAAACCTCGAATAACTAGGAGGATTGGTACATAAGTCGTTTGCTTGGCCACCTTTGTCCCATTCGTGTTTCTACCGTGAAGCAGTTGTTTGCATGGCTGTGTTTCGGTTTGAAGGGTGCGATATGGCAGTGAATTTACAGGGTACAAGGGAATAATCCCTTAGTCCTCAGGAATGGCAGCGCATGAGGGATATTATGGCCGAAACAGTACACTCTGTTAAATCTATGGTACTGCTCGTGTCTATAGGCGACGGTTACCACTTTCTATCAGGTGGGCCGTCAGTTTCATTAGTCAGCCCCATGCGTTGCCATTCCTGAGGACTCGGGTGTTATTCCTCTGCTTAATGAAGTAGGGGTTCATTTTCGGTCGGGCTAATTTAACAAACAAACTCTCCTGTATTGTTTCGGGTTTGGGTGTTCCTCCAAATGTCTGTGGTCCGGTTTTTCATTAAACAGGTATAAAACCATAGCCTTTATAAAAAGCAATACATGAAGGGTAGTATTGGCATTTTATGTGCTTTCTAATGTGCATAATATATATTATTATTATTATTTATTCTTTATTGCACAATAAAACTTTGTACATATGGCGAGCTTAATGCCATATGGCATTCTCTACCAGCTAACCATTGGATAAAAACAGAAAGCGTATGAAGGGCAGCGGTGGTGAAAAATATGTGACATAACTATAGCAACATACTGAAATAATTATACATAATACATAACAAAAACACATATAATACATAAACACTACTTATATATATATATATATAAAACTACGTTACTAAAACTTTAGTAACGTAACTCAAGGTGTAAAAAAAATGCTATAAAATATCTTTGGTCGCGTGCGCTGCAGAAACTATCGGTGATAGAACAAAAGTATGTTCTACAATATTGAGTACCCTATAAATTCACGCCATATCCCACCCTTCAAACCGAAATACAACCATGCAAACACAACTGCTTCACGGTTGAAACACGAATAGGACAGAGGTACCCAAGCAATCGACTTTTGTACAAAGTCTCCCTCTAATTTATTCAGGCTCGGATTCGATCTCGGGACCCCCGGACAGCTGTCAGGCTTTCGACGGAGCTGTCAGCGCTTACAAAAGAAGAAATAAACTGTAACTTCTCGTAAACTATTATTTATTTTTCCCCGTATCTATTGTGTCCTGTTATTGAGTGTCGTCCGATAGTCGCAAATTGAGGTCGTTCATTCATTAAACTGGGTCATTTTTATAATTATTTTACAATCTTTTTATGTTCCAAAGGTAGCAAACAAGCATGCAGCCCGTCTGATGGAAAGTGGTAACCGTCGCCTATAGACATGAGCAGTACCATAGACATATTGCTAAAACCGTGTTGCTATTATGTTGTGTGGTCCCAGAATAGAATATGCCACCGCTTCCTTTCCCGTGGGTGTAGTAAGAGGCGACTAAGGGAGTACAAGGTACGGGCAGCAGCGTCCCTCTTAAAACATCTCTAAAGCCTAACTGCGATTGCCAATCCGCCTGCCAAGTATGGCAGCTACTGGCAAACCTCCCAAGGGGAGGCTCATGTCCAGCAGTGGACAGTTAAAGGCTGATATGATAGTACATTCTCATACGGTATGGACATGTGATGTGTGTGAAAAAAGGGACTGTGGTAAGAAAGGTATTATGTATGAAAATGAATAACTATAAGTTCAGAGAGAGACCTAAAAAGTGATGGATGGTCGTGTTTCACAAAGATTTTTTTTTTACAACACAGGGGGCAAACGAGCATGCGGCTCACCTGATGGTAAATGACTACCGCCGTCCATGATCACCCACAACACCAGCGACATTGCAGGTGTGCTGCCGGCCTTTTAAAAAGGAATATACTCTTTTCTTGAAAGTTATGTTGTCGTATCGGTTCGGAAATACTGCTGCTGGAAGTTGATTCCAAAGAATGGTTGTGCGTGGAAGAAAGTGCCTTGAAAAACGCACGGTGGAAGACCGCCACTCGTCCAGATGATTGGGATGAAACTTTAGTTTGTGGCGGGTTGTACGGTGGTGAAAATCAGCAGCAGGTATCAATCCGAACTATTCCTCAGAGCACTGCCCATGATAAATTCGGTAGAAGATGCACAGAGATGCAACATCTCTGCGTAGTTTCATTGGGTCAAGTCGAACAGTAAGGCGTTGACTTTGTACAGGGCACGAGATATGGGCAGCAGCGTTCCTCTTAATCATTTCCAAAACCTAACTGCTGTTGCCAGTCCGCCTGCCAAGCATAGCAACTACTGGCAATACCCCTTCAATAGAGGGGGACTTATGTCCAGCAGTGGACAGTTAAAGGCTGAGATGATAAACATGATAATGATGATGAACATGGTGATGATGATGATGATGAACATCTAAGACAATTGAACAATTTTCAATTTATTTCTGAATGATTTATAATTAAGGAGCACTCCGTTATCAACTAAAACATTGACATGCCATACTAACATGGCATATTAATAGGTAAGCTTGAGCATTTTCAATTGTTTCTCGCACGTACCGTGCGGTGAGAAATAATTGAAAATTTCAATTTCGTGCAGGTGGCGTTAGAATATAATAGCTTGTTGTTCATTTGCATTATTCATCTATCTATTGAATTAATATTTATTTATTTATTTATTTAGCCCTCCCTCCCACTCCTCCCCTTCCCTTATTCTTTATTCAGGTTATGGAATGAGCTCCCTGTCGAGGTTTTCCCAAGAGACTACAGTATGGGGTTCTACAAATGGGGGGTAAAGAGGTTTCTTCGGGGTCGGCAACGCGCGCGTAATACCTCTGGCATTGCAGACGTTCATAGGCTACGGTAACCGCTTACCATCAGGTGGGCCGTATGCTTGTTTGCCACCTCAGTGGTATAAAAAAAATAATTTTAAAATATCTATAAATAGGGAGGATTTGATTGTTTGTTTGTTTGTAAACGGATTAACTCAAATAAATAATGTTCCATAAAAAAAAACAGCTATAATTGTAGCAAAACTAGTTATTTTCATTTCAAAACTTAACTACTGTATCGATTTCGATGAAATTCCTATCAAACCCATCTGTAATGATTTTCTCATCTTTTTAAATAAAATAAAAAATCCAAATCGATTTACGTCTGACAGAATTACAAGGTAACAAACATAAAAAAAAATACAACGGAAGCGACAACCTTCTTTTTCAAGTCGGTTAAAAATACTTGAATGATTTAAAAAATTATCCCACCTACAGAAAGCTACATTAACAGCCAGTAACTAGAGTTATACTTCATTTAAAAAGCAGAAATATCTACCTGTCTACCCGTGCAGATCCGGAGCGAATCGCTAGTTTCAAATAATTAAGTCTATTAAATATGGAAGCGTAATAATAAATCTTCTAACTTTACAATTCTAGGAATAAGCTTAATACTAAAATTATGGCTGACTAGACACCGTTCTTAAGCCCTAAACAATACTAAAACAAAAGCATCCCACGTAGCCGACTTACCCTTGACTATTAGAGCTTCTAAATATAAATTTAAGAATCTAGTTACGAAATAATTTAAAATGAAAAAAAAAAAAACACTCACCTATACATTCAAAGTACTCGATACACTATAGAATTCACAGCACTGTTTTTTTTTTAATGTTAAATAAAACAATGGCGCGCGAATTTACACGTTTTTTTTTAATGGAGCGCGGGAAACACGACCTCACCGCGCGGAGGCTCGAACGCGACTGAGGGGTGGCGGAGTGTGTTCCTAGTTGTAATAGCGTGGGGTGCGTATGTGTGTGTGGGGTTGTAGGTGGAAAAGGTTTTTCAGGGGTCCGTGGAGAGCGCCGGAAAACCGTGGAGAATTTATTTCTAATCGTTTTTGTTCTATCTAATCTGTATATAGTACATTTTGCTAGAACAAATTAGTTTTTTTTTATACAACTTAGAATGGCAAACAAGCTAACAGCCCACCTGATGGAAAGTGGTAACCGTCGCCTATAGACATGAGCAGTACCATCGACATAACAGAGTATACTGTTTCGCCCATGATACCCCCATGCGTTGCCATTCCTGAGGACTCAGGTGTTATTCCTCTGTACCCTGTAAATTCACGCCATATCCCATCCTTCAAACCGAAACACAGCCATGCAAACACAACTGCTTCACGGTTGAAACACGAATGGGACAGAGGTACCCAAGCAATCGACTTTTGTACAAAGTCTCCCTCTGGTATCTATATATTAGGATAGGAAATAATCCCTTTAATTATAAGCAAAACCGTGAAATTTCAATCAAGTTCACAATTTGTTTGCCAACTATCTTTTCGCCCGCTGCTTCGTCTACGTGGATTTCAGAAGCAGGAAAAGCAATGAAATAGATTACTTCAAGATGGCGTATCGACATGTAACATACACCTCTTTTTTTACATCACTGAGGTGGCAAACAAGCATACGGCCCGCCTGATGGTACACCTGTTTTGAGCAACGTAATTATGACACCATTTCGATGTGGTAATGTTTGCGTAATGCGGGTGTAAAATTAAAAATACAGATTTTTTTTTTTTTAATTATTATTCAGGCTTTTTTTGTCCTTAGTAAGACCCTTTATATCTATTTTTTTTTTAAATATCTCCCATGTATATAGACAACGTCTAGTTTTTTTTTTAATCAATGAAAATCGAATAGTTACCCCGCCTGTACTATCGGTATACGCTGGCGGGGCACTAGTGAGCGATGATAGGTGAGGATGAAAAAGCAGGTCAGTTAGCCCATCGTGATGAATACACCTAGAACTCAGTACGGTGGTTTCTAGGGGGGGCCGCGTAGAGGTCCACCTGGCTGGGTATATTGCTAACAATGGGACTGGTAGTCCGCATTAGTAATTATATATATATAATTATATTTACATTTATATACATATATAATATATATACATTTTTTTGCGTCTATTCAATGTGGTCGCCGCTCAAAAACAAAATCTTTCTTCCCCATCAATAGGTAGATAGATAGACAGATAAACACTTTATTTGGGGGGGAAAGGGATTGTTAGTAATAAGGACTAATGGCCCCATTGCTAGCAAACCCTGTCAGGTCGACCTCCACGCGGTTCCCCCTGGAAACTATCGAGATTAATACTTGTTGCATTCGTCACGATGGGCTGGTGCCCCGCCGGAGTATACTGATAGCGCAGGCGGGGTTATCGTTCTATTATCATCCATTGGAAAAAAACTGGAAAAAAAAAAACACTTTATTTGAGCCATTTATGACATATGTAAATTAACAAATGACTTCGTACAATCAAATTAAGTCGTTTCTTCGAGCTATGCGACCAACATAACCTTCAAGAAAAGAGCATATTCCTTTTTAAAAGGCCGGCAGCACACCCGCAATGCTTTTAGTGTTGCGGGTGACCATGTGCGGCGGTAGTCACTTACCATCAGGTGAGACGCATGCTCGTTTGCCCCCTGTGTTGTAAAAAAAAGTGACTAGCTCACTGCCATATCATGTAAATTGTGATTTTACTTACATATAAATCTTCATAAACAATCAACAACTTTAAATATTTATGCAAATTTATTATAAAATCGTTTAACCATAATGAAAACTGAAAGTTAGGAAGAGCTATTTTATATTCCTAACTAGTTTCCCGGCCCGGCTTCGCACGGATGCTCCTATATTTTTATCCAAAGGGAGACTTTGTACAAAAGTCGTTTTTTTTGTTGTATGAAAATGGTATGGTAACCCCGCCTGCGCTAACGGGATACGCTGGCGGAGCATCAGTGAAGGGTGATAGATGAGAATGAAAACAGGCCAATTAGCCCATCATGATGAATTCATCAGGAATTAACAATGATAGTTTCCAGGGGGAACCGCGAGGAGGTCGACCTGGTTGGGTATATTGCTAGCAATGGGATTCTCAGTCTCCATTACTAACAATCCCATTCCCCCCGTACAAAAGTCAATTGCTTGAACACAAGCAATCACAATTGCTTGAAAAAAAAAAACGTAACGGTTTACACTTGGACGATATCATTTTCAAGAAATAAATTCCCAAAAGTGTATTTTAATATGTAATAAACATTTTTTTAATAAACTTCTTGTTTAATTTTTTATCAATTTTTTTAATGTGAACTTTCTTTTGAGTCACCTTGTATTGTAAGGGACCCTAACTTTATAGCCGACTCGCGCTTGCCCATTTTTTTCTTCAATTCTCCCACAACTCTCGGACAGGGGGCGCTGTCTAGCAACAGCTGGCCTTGGTTGGTTTTTCATTTGTTTTCTTGATTTACATGATCCAAGAAAACTTTATTAGTTACATATTATACAATTACATAGTCTCTAAAAGCCTGACTGCGGTCGCCAAATCGCCTGCCAAGCATGGCAACTACTAGCAAAACTACTCTTGTGAGGTTTATGTCCAGCAGTGGACAGTTAACGGTTGAAGTATAATAATGATAAGGCTTCCGAGGCGGCTCACTCCCGGGAAAGACGCAGAAAGCGGTGCTCTTAGATTCTGTCCGCATTGTACGCCGGTTTCTCTCCCTGGGGCCCTGAACCCGGGCCGACTGTGCTTCTGCCGGGGATTAGTTGCCATCTCCTCTCCTTAAGAGGGGAGATGAGAATTTTGGAAAATTTAAAAAATAATAATAATAATAAATATTATATTATTAAAGAATGTGTTTCACAGAAAAAAAAAACTCTTCTCGATTACGACAAAATACAGTTATTTTGGTCTAAAAACTAAACTGCTGAACCGATTCTGATAAAATTTCTATGAGACCAATGTGTAAGTATATCCTTTCAGATAAAAAAAAATAAATTCCTAATCGAGTTTAGAACTGACGAAGTTATAAGGTAACGGAAAGAAAGAAATCTTTTTATTGAAGCAAACTTAGATTTAAGCATTTTTAAATAGACATTTTTTCATTATCGCCCATTCAGAACGCAATTTCAGCCGAGAACGGGCAAGAAACTCAGCTGTTGCCAGTTTTTCAAATAGTTTAAATACAATATATATATATATATATATATATATATATATAGTGTATAATTAAAACAAATTAATTCGCAGGCAGGAAAAGGGTTTGTTAGTAATGGAGACTGAGAATCCCATTGCTAGCAATATACCCAACCAGATCGACCTCCTCGCGGTTCCCCCTGGAAACTATCATGGTTAATTCCTGATGAATTCATCATGATGGGCTAACTGGCCTGTTTTCATTCTCATCTATCACCCTTCACTGGTGCTCCGCCAGCGTATCCCGTTAGTGCAGGCGGGGTTACCATACCATTTTCACCCATCAAAAAAATCCCTGCCTGCGCTAACGGGATACGCTGACGGGGCACTAGTGAGGGTCTTGAAGACGGTTCTTTTTGTAGGCCACAATCTTTAATTATACTAAAATAGATTGAGTTTTCCTCTTAATACGCCTAGTTCGTAGCACGCGCTACGGCGTAACTATACAATGGCTACGTAAGGTCTACAAGTTCCGTAGCTTTGAGTCAAAACATATACAGGTGATAGCGGAATTAAAAATTGTGTTTGCATGGCTATGTTTCGGTTTGAAGGGTGGGATATGGCGTGAATTTACAGGGTACAGAGGAATAACACCTGAGTCCTCGGAAATGGTAACGCATGGTATCATGGGCGAAACAGTATACTCTGTTATGTCCACGGTATTGCTCATGTCTATAGGCGACGGTTACCACTTTCCATCAGGTGAGCCGTCAGCTTGTTTGCCATTCTAAGTTGTATAAAAAAAACCTGCTTTCATCCTCATCAGTCATCTATCACTGGTGTCCGACCACTGTATACATACCGATAGCGCAGACGGGGTTACCATACCATTTAATCAGCCATTAAAAGAAACAGCGGAATAGATCTATAGGGAACTTCAATATATCCGTCATTCAAAACTATTGGCCCGACATTCATTTACGGCTGGCATCACATCCAAATACGTGTACAGACAGCCACTCAAAATCCCCTGCACGAGCATCGAACCCGTGACTAACGATGCGTTGTAATAACATATACGATCAAAGTGGTGTGATCAAAGTCTGCTCAATGAACACGGGACGGAAGATTATCCGTGAAGTCCTTTTGCAACTCAACCAAATGGCATAATACATGTACGTATACCAAATAATGATGCCCGAGTGTTATTCGTAATTTAAATACAACACATACAACAGAGGGGGGGAAAGGGAATCTTAGCACTGGAGTTTGACAGCCCCATTGCTAGCAATATGCCATATCAGGTCAACCTCCGCGTGGTTCCCCCGGAAACCATCGTGAACAATTCTTGTTGAATTCGTCACGATGGGCCAACTGACCTGCTTCATCCTCACTTATCATTCTTCACTGGCGCCCCGCCGGTGTATACCGATAGCGCGGGTGGGGTTGCCATTCCATTATCACCCATTAAAAAGAAAACTCCCAACAGAACGGTACGTTTACTACATTTAGAAAAACCTTAAATTAATGATAGGTACTGTTACATAGCCGTGGCTATGTACAACATACAAACATAAAAGTGCTGAAATGCATTTTCGAAACGGTCAACGGTTAACAATAAGGTATACGTCATACCATCCATTTCCAGCGATTTTTCGATATATTTTAATTCAGACCGGATTTGAACCTCAGACGAACAAGACGCTTTACAAATTTTTATAATAAAGACTCGTGTTAAATAAAATATTTTTTAAAAAGTCCCATCTGACACACA